GGCTGGTGTCAGGCTGCCCGGGTGGAGTGGGTGGAGAGCACCCATGATGCTGCCGCCCCTCCGTGCTGCTCCCGCAGCCGCCGCTGCCCACCTGCCCCGTGGTGCCTCCACAGCTTTCGCCCCGTCCCCTCCGTACTGTGGCACGGCTGGGGGACCCAGAGCCCGGCGGCTGCGGCAGAGGCTTAGCTGATGCCCCAGCCCAGCCTGGCCCCGCAGGCAGCCATGAACACACCGGCGTCTCGTGGGGTGCCACGGCGGCACCCCCTGCCTGCAGTGCCTTGCCGTCCACACCAGACCTCTGCGTGCGGCAGCAGAAGTGCCTCATCCTGCCCTCCCTGGTGGGAGGAGGCTGCCCAGGCAAGGACGGGGGGGCCCAGAGAGACCCCCCCGCCACCGCCTGCCTGGGGCCCTCCCTGCCTCCGTCTCACCCAAAGCGTGTGCGTTCGATGGGCATCGCAGCCGCACAGAGCAATAAGAGACCTTCCCCCTCCCCGCTGCAGCCCCCCAGCCTGGGAACCGCCTGCCCCACGGCCCAGCCCCGCCCCACTCCCTGCGCAGGGACACACGTTTTTCCTCCCATCCGTCCTGCCTCCCCCTGCCCCGTCCCCAGCCGCTGTCCCCCCCGGCGGGCGCTGGGTCCAAGGGGAGGGTCGGGGACGAGGGACGCCCAGGAAACACCTCCCAGCAGGAAGGGCTCCTTTTGTTGGTTTTTTTTTTTTCTTCCCCAAAGATTTTTATTATTTAAAAAATGTTGTTGGTGGGATCTTAAAACCAACCGTGTGGCCCCCGAGGCTGAAATCCTCCATCTCCGCGGAACGGGGCACCGCTGGCGATGGTTTCTGTCTTCTCGTCTTCCAACTTGGCCAACGTGACAAAACCAGGATGAATTTCTGGAATGTCTCAGTGACGAGATCTGCAGATTTCGCCAGCACACAGTTATCAGCTGAGAAATTGTCACTATTTTTGTACCTTTTTTTTTCCTTCTTTTTTTTTTTTTAAGCCGGGCTGGAAATTTTTCACCTAAATGTTTTTTAGGTGACAAATGGCCATGCTGGCTGCCATGGCAAGTGTGCCAAAGACAGAGGGAATTTTGCCGATCCCCCCCAACCCAACCCCTGGCTCCATGGCCACAGTGGGAGGTTTTGGTTTTCCGTGTGGATTTGCCCCATCCATGCCAGTGGGTGCCAAGGCTCCCGATGGGAACAAAATGTTTCAGTTTTAGTGAAACACCCTTCTGCCCCTCCGGTCCCCAGTAGCTCCCTGGCGTGGCACGGCACGGCATGGCACGGCAGCTCCCCGGCACCGGCAGGGATGTCCCCACGTGTCTTGGCGGGGGTGCAGGTGGGGACGGGGATTGGCAAGTGCTGCCATCCTGCTGGCCAGGGCTGGCTGGACGGCGAGGACGGAGCGAGCCGGGATGGAGGCTGGCACCGGGCTCAGTATTGCAGCTCATCGGCAAGGCTTCACCTGGCTTCTCGTCCGGGTGACAGTGTCCCTGTGTCACGTCCCGTGTCCCAGGTGCACGTGTCTCAGCGTGGCCCCAGCACTTCCATCCCGCAGGGCTGCGCTCCTGCCCCTGCCCTGCTGCAAACTGCCGTCCCCAGCAGGGTCCCGCAGAGCTGTCGAGTTGCTGGCTGCATCCCTGCTCGGTGCCTCGCCGGGCTCCTGCCGAAATCCCCTGCCTGCCCTGGTGCCCTGCCGGACCCCCTGCCTGCCTCAGCGCCCGCCCGCCCGGCTGCGTGTGGCCCCGCTCGAAAGAGGCTGCACACAACTTCTAAACTGAGTCAATTTGCCAGGATGGTGGTCAGCGAGGACGGGGGTCCCTGCCCCTGCCGGAGTCCCTGGCCCCCCGGTGCCACCGCGCAAAGGATGGGTTTCCCGGGGCGTGGGGAGGTGCTGCTGGGGGCCATGGCCGGTCATGGTGCTGGTCCCGCGCGGCCACGCCAGCAGCACCACAGCGGGGTGCAGTGGCAGCCCCAGCTCACCGGGCTCAGCCACCCGGACCCTCCCCGCACACAGCCAGGGCAGCGCCGGCAGATCCAGTGGAGCCCCTCCTGGTTTTGGGGTGGCCGGTGAGCAGCCAGGCAGGGGCCAGGGATGCCGGCGCTTGCCAGGGCACATTCTGTGTCCAGCTCAGAGGGCTCCAGCGTTTTATATTGTCTCTCCTGTAGTTTAAGGCTGTATTTACACACGATCATATACCAGTGTAAGGCTCCCCAACCCCAGCGGCGTTTTTGCACGCCAATGTGATTTCTGTCAGTTCCTCCTGGGCCAAGGCCGTCCCTTCGGACTCCCGTGTAGCACCGACCCTCTTTTACTGTAAACTTGAAACTTTGTATCGTCAAAAAGAAAAAAAAAGGTAATTACTGTATTTAATTTTCCCGTTTTTTAGTGTGTTTCTATCGAGTGTATTTTATCTTTGCATTGCTTTAAAGAAAAGGAGAGGGGGGAAGCAAAGCAGAGGAGGAGTGAGGGGTCTGCGGGGATCCCACCCGGCTGGACATTGTGTTCCTGCAGTGCCGGTGTGTGCCATATGGAAACGCTCCCCTTCCAAACAGGCCAAATTAAACCAGAGACTGCCCATGACCTTGGCACCCTCCTGCCGCTGTCTTGAGCCCTGGCAGAGAGTGGAGGAGCGGCACTTGCAGCCCCAACCCCCGGGGAGGTTCAGACGCTGGGCTGTGCTGCTAGCCTGCCCCGGCTCCAGACCCCCCTCAAAAAACATCCCCGGGGACCCCTGGCGGGACCAGCCCCATCTCCTTGGCCCTGGGAAGTGCCGGTGCTGGCGGTGGGAGCAGAGCACGCTGGAGCCTGCCCATGCTTCAGAACGAGGGGTTCGAGGTGTGCACCCGCGAAAGCCTGGCTGGGGACTGTTTGCTGTAGCTATGGGGGCTGGCAGCTGAGCGGCTGCAGATGGCTCCGGCTCCGAGCTGCCAGGAAAAATATTTGACAGTTTCTTTCTGCCCGCCGCCGCGGACAGGCACTGGGGAGAGCAGCGTGGCTGTACCGGCCTCCCACAGGAGGGGGGTGGATTGGTGGCAGCGAGGGACATCGCCCAGGAGCCCCCGCCGCCCAGGAGCACCCGCGGGTCCCTGCTCCCCCGGAGCCCCTCCGCCCCTCACCCTGAGGTCCCCCAGGTGCAGCTCGGCACAGGCTGGGCCCTGGGCTGCTCCTCACACCCGCAAAAAAAGGGGCGGGGACCCCTTTTGGCCACTTCCAAAGGCACCTGCCTGTCCTCCGCCAGGGGCCATGGGCACGGCCAGCTGCAGAGCAGGATAAGGGAGGCTGGGCTGGGGGGAGCTGGGGAGGGCGGGGGGCTGGATTGCAGCAGCCTGGAAGTGGAAAAAATGCCTGAGCTGAGAGCATCTGGTTTGTAGATCCAGGGACTGGGCTGCGGGAGCAGGGCCAGTGCCTGCCTGCGCTCAGCAGCATCCGCAGCCTGCGGGGCTCAGGGGTCAGTGCCAGGCATCCCACCGGTGTGGGGACAGGCTCAGCCATACCATCCCTGCCCGAGCACCTGGTCCCTCCCAGCCTGGGGGACACTGTGTTTGGGGTTCAGCAGCCCTGAAAATCCAGGCACCCACAAAGCCTCAGGAAGAGCTACGCCGAGCAGGGATGGGGTGGGAAGCAAATGATTTTGTGCCTCCTTGTGAGTCCCAGCTCAGCCTCTGCTCGGTGCCACCGCGAGGGCAGCAAGGATCGTCACCGCCGGCCCTGCACAGCGGCACAGAGCAGTGGCAGGGCTCGGAGACGGCACCAGGCTAGGACAAGACGCTGGACGGGCTTCAAGGTTCAGGGGAGGACAGGGACAGGCACCAGCTCACACCAGGGTGACGTGCTCTTGGCCAGGCAGTGCTGCCAGCCTCGTGGAGCTGCAGCCTGTGACACATGTGCATGTGCATGCTGGTGCTGGTATGCACTGAGCATCACCAGCTTCAGTCAGTGTTTTGGGAGGGTGTCAGGGGACTGGTAGCTGAGAGATGCCCAGGCGTGGCAATGCTGGTGGCTGCGTGCCTCCCGGCTGCCCGGCGCTCCCAGCCATGGCTCGGCTTTCTCATGGTGTTTGCAGCAAACGTGCTCGCCGGGGCAGCTGGGAGGCAGCGTCGCCTGCGGTCACGTTGCAGGAGAACGCTGGGTCTCCGGCGTCACAGCTCCCTGAGGCTGGAGGTGTCATCCGGGGCCAGTGCCAGCCTGATGCTCCGGTTACTGGAGCTGTGTGGCCGGCGGTGCTCGGGGTTGTGCAAACACCCTGGAGGAGTTGGGCCCGAAGGCAGCCATCTGCAGCCAATGTAGACAAGCGCAGTAATTTGCTGGCGCAGCAGATCAGCAGCCGGACCAGGGAAGACGCCAGCTCTCCTGGAGCCCGGCCCAGCGCCCCGGCCCCACGTTGATGGCTGCTCAGGGCTGGGGCTACCGGGGCTCTCCTTCAGGGCCCCCCTCTGGCTGCCCCCAGCCCTGGCGGCTGCGGGGGCACCGGACTGGGCTTGGGAACTGATTTGGCTGGAGAATCATGTGTGCATGTACGTGCATTTGGCAGAGCCGCTGCTGGGAGCACGGGGGCTGGTGCCGCAGGGTCCGGAGGTCATTTGCCCCTTCCCGTGATGGTTGCAGACCGGGGGCACCTGCCTCCTCCCTGCTCCCCCGTGTGCCGCTGCTCCTCCCTGTCCGCCGAGGGAGGGCTGTGGCCCTTTCCCTCTTCTGGAGGTCACCAGGAAGCCGGTGACAGGAGGAAACCGAGCCCTCCTGCACCCTCCATGTGTCCGGAAGCGCTGCCAGCCAGGACCCCCGGGTAGGGCTGTGCCAGGCAGCGGTGGCAGGACCCCGTTGTGTCGGGATGGGGGAGGCAGGCAGTGATGCTGACCCCCAGCAGTGTCTGGTGGCGGGTCTGGGTCCCGGGTGAGCTGGTCCACGTCTCGTTGCGAAGCAAAGCTCTGCACATGCTCTACCTGCAACAGCCAGCGGCTCCCCGTCGCCTGTGCAGGGCGAGGACGTTTCTGTGCAGAAACCCCTGTGGCCACCACGCTGCTGCCCGCCCCGCTGCCACCAGGGCTTTGTGTGTCACCCACACATGTGCACACGTGTCCATGCACCCACATGCATGGTGGGTGGTCACCGGTGCGATCCGAGTCCCTGTCACCAGGGACAGCCTGGCCACATGCCACAGCATTGGTGGCTTTCGGGGTCTTGCTGTGGCGGGGGACATGGGGCATCACCCCTTGGCAGCAGAGGCTGCTGGGAACAAACTCGCGAGCCCAGCCAGGACAGGGTCTGGGTTTGTTACAAAATGGCTGGAACTGGACCCAGGAACCAAAACCAAGAGCTGCGCTTCCAGGAAGCCTGGGACAAACTTTGGAAGCCATGAGGAACTCAGAGAATTGTTTGTTTTTTCCTGAATCCAGGTGGTTTTGGCTGAACTGTCCCCGCGGTGTCTGAGCCTGTGCTCCAGCTATGCTGCGCTGGAAAAGGGTTTTCCATGAACTAAAAATTCCACATGCGGAAGACGGTGCTTGGCGATGGGCCCGCTCCCCATCCCAAAGCAGTCCCAAAGCGGGGAAAAGCAGCCATCGCCCCGTTCCCCAGAAGATGAACCCTCCCGGTTGTGGCTGGAGTTCCACAAAAAGGAGCTGGATTTGACGATGCAGGGGAGCAGCGTGCGGGGGCCCGGGCTCGGGGGCGGCAGCGTGATCCCCCCCCCAAAGCACCGTTTGGAGCCAAAGCCTTCGAATGTTCGTATTCCCTTTGCGCTTATCGCTGCTGTCCTGAACAGCATCGCGATAAACACGACGGAGTGAAGCAGCGCGGCTTTGCCCTTACTTACGGCTCCCAGCAGACGGGCCGGGCACAGGCAGGAGGCGGGCAGGGTGCAGGCAGGAGGCGGGCAGGGTGCAGGCAGGGCGCGGGCAGGGCGCAGGCAGGGATGGACGGTGTCGTGCTGGGGCCCCTTGCCGGCTGCAGCGCGCACTGCAGCGGGTCGCATCCTGCACACCCCGCGGGGGGCTGGGGATCCCGGGGGCTGGGGATCCCTGCGGGGCTGGGACCGGGGATGCACGAGCCCGGGGCGCTGGGGCTGAGCCGCGTCCCCCCGAGCTGCCCGTGACCTTGGGGCGCCGCGTTCCCCTGGGTCTTGAAGTTGGTGCTTTGCAGCACGATGGGGACGGCACAGGCGTGCGGAGCCCGCGGGGTCACAGGCTCGCCCAGCCCGGCCCCAGGCTGGGTGCTGGGTCTCGGCTGAGCAGAGCTTAGGCCAGACAGACTGGGGGGACACACAAAGCCGTTAGTTTCTCGTCCTGGAGCCGGGTGCTCCCCCCACCCCACGCAGGAACTCCAATATCTGGTTTTATCGTTGCCACAGAGCTGTTGCAGCCGAATGCCGTTTCACAGCCCGGCTGGAGGGGAGTGACGTTTTCTTTAAGTGCAACGCATGCATATGCTTGGCAGTTTAAGAGAGCAGAGTAACCGTATTTCAGTTGCTAACATCTCTGCACTGTTTGTGGTGAGATAAATGATCCACTGCTTTATTGAAAATACCCCTAAGCAGGGTTTGTTAGCACAGGGTCCAAAATTAAAACAACGTAGAGGCACCAGGTAAGCGAGTGCTAAGGGAGACGGCTGTATGGTGCGCTCAGAGCCGCTCTACTCCACTCGGAGATTACAGCAAGAGCTGAATCTTCAGCTGGTGTAAATCACGGCAGCACCGATTTCCACAAGGCTGCGCCAATTTACGTCATCTGAGGATCTGGCCCAAATTCATGCAAGTCATTTCCAAAAACCCAACATTTTACTGTCATGAAAATGTCAACATTTATTTCTCAGCTTGCCATGATGCCTGGAGGTTGAGCTAGCCTGTAACCCCGCTTTGCAAGTAAAGGGCAAGAGAATTTACCAGCATCAGGCAAAAATACGCTGCCTTTCGATGCTTCTTGCTCTTTGGGGGAAGCAGGACTTTTCAGCAGGGCCTAGTGATTTTATATGCTTTGATTTGCAAAACTGCCTCCTGATGCTGGTCTGTCGTCAGGGAGGTGAGTCCCCCCCTGCCTGCATCAGAGCTCCTCTCCTGCGGCGTTGGGGGGGGTGTTAGGGCTGAGTCCCCGCAGGTGGGAGCTCAGCTTGGACACCCCGAGTGCAGGCATCCCCCGCTGCTGGTAGAAATCTCAGCCGGAGTATTTCAGTCCTTGAGAGAAAAGCGAACGGTGCATGCCAGGTGAGGGAGGCAGCGGTTCCGTTCGGTGAGCACAGCTCCCGTCCTGCAGCTCCGCTCCCAGCTCGGCACAGCTCCCCACGGGCAGCCATCCCGTGCTGGCCACCGGCGAGCGCTGGCCACGCGATGCCCTGCGGAGGGTCTCGGGGGAACATCTCATCCCACCAGAGCATAACATCTTTAACTGAGACTCGTGACATGACGGTATATAACAAAAAAATATAAATATGAGCTGTTGCCAAAATGCAACCCAGAAGCAGGAAAAGGTGAGCAGTAGAAGCTCGGCAGCGTGTGGGCAGCTGCCAGCCTGGAGCTCTCCTGGGGTTTCTGTCCTCTACGGGCCCGGCAGGAGCTTGCATAGAAGGTCGATGACAAGCGACGCTGGCTGCACAGTGTCGTACTCTGCAAACAGGTGACAGAGGTTCTCCGAATCTGTCTGGCTTTTGGCCACAAACCCAAAGATCCTTTGAAAAAGGAGAGAGAGCCTTATGTAGTTTGCATCCAGGAATCCAAAGGAATATGCTTAAACTAGGCCCGGCCACAAAGCAAAATCCCGGTTCCAGCAATTCCACCTTGGCCCGCTCCCCAATCACGTTTACTTGGAAGCAAAACAGCCGAGAGAAGTGTTTCTGGCAAGGCTTCCCCAGCTGTGAAAAGTTTCTTGAACGCAAGGTAGAGCCAGATATAAACTCACTTCCTGAGCCCAGAGCAAGCGAGTCACTGGGAAGGCTGACGGATTTGGACGGGGGCTTTCTACATGAGGGGATGCAGAGAATTGGGCTTAGCCAAGCCTCTCATCAAAACCTACAGAGCAAAACTCCCCACAAAGCTTCACCCATCAGTCCCACATCTCATCGTGCCACCACGTTAACTTTTATAGCATCCCCTCTTCATTTTTAAGCTTTGATTCTTTGCTGCTGTGCAAAGCTTTGCAATGCACCCGCTGGAGAGGCGAGGCTGGGTCAAAGCAGCATCTCCCCCCCCCCCAGGTTTCCACCGGCACGCTTCAGCTGCGGGAGGTCCCTGCGCAGGTCTTACCTCGAGGACTTGCAGTACTTCTGCCACCTGAGGGAAGAACAGAATTGGATTTGCTCAGAAGAGTGATATTTAACTCATTCCATCAGCTGCACAGTCAAGGTTTCTATTTAGCTAAACCCAGTGCATTAAGCCCAGGGCAGGGGCTGCACAGCCAGTGGTTGGGATTTGGGATTTTAAGCGGTAGAGAGTTGGGAGCAGCAGAGCCGCGCTGGGAACCGTGGGGAAGCGAGCACCGCGCGGCGGCTCCGACCAGCTCGGATGCCCTCATCCCGCAGAGCAGCCGATAACTCACTTTCTGTTCTCAGGATCCATCCCGCAAAACCTGATGGCAGCCAAGGGGTAGTGTCGCCTGAAAAACACCCTGTTGGGGGAGGAGCAGAGCGTGGCGTTAGAGGAGGAAAGTGCCTGAGCAGAGCTGGTGGGAGAAACAGGCATTTGCAAATTCAAGCCCTGCTCAAACTGTTGTGGCTGCTGGGGAATGGGGGGTGTGGGGGTCCCGCTCCCCGGGGCTGCCTCCAAGCTGGCAGCTGGCAAAGTGCAGGCAGCTCTTGGGCTGAGCCGGCTCCTGCCTCCCACTCTTGAGATGTTGCCACTAGCTTTACGTAAAGCAGCATCATGCCCTGTGCTGTAACAGAAGGGGTCAAGTCCATCTCTGGATTGCAACACGGATTTGTCCTAGCAGGCCAGTTTTTCTTGACGTGCTGCAGATCAGCACGTTGGCAGGCTGAGAGGCAAGAAGAGAGCTGTGCGGTCACAGGCGAGCTGCATTTCCATGACCATTTAGCTCTCCCCCGCAGCTCCCCACCGGTGAGCCCTTGGCCGTGGCAGCCCTGTCCTGACCCTCCCCATGTGGCTCTTACTTCCTCTGGATGTCCGTCAGCGTGACTCCCTGCTCGGTCACTCTGAAGTGCACGAGGGTGGGTGTGGGCAGCGTCTCCAGCTCGAAGGTGGAGGAGATGGCTTTCTGGATGGCCGGGGCTCCTGTGAGCGTCTCCATGTTCACCGAGTTGAGGTACAAGACGTTGCACACTGCAAGGACAGCACAGAGCCAGGCTCAGCACGGGGCCAGCATCACGCTGGCGTCTCGCTGCGCTGAGCACGTGCAGCGCCGAGCACAGCGGTGCCAGGTCCGGGGCCGGGTCCCAGGCATCATCCTGCAGAACCGGACACATGTACGTGGGTCAGATTTGTTTTGATGAAAATTAAAGATTTGGTGACTCAGAAATTCTTCACAGATTTATTTTGGTTTATTTTAATTCTTTGCACTAATTGTTTTAAAAGTCGAAGTATTTAATTTCCGGTTTCTAAATGTCAGATTTGGATTTTTTTTCTGTTTATTACATATTTCCTTTAATGAAAAGCAGAAATACCCCAAGCCAACTAACGGCTGAAGGCCAACGTAAAACATGACATTTCAGGCTGATTGAGCTGTTTAAAGGGCTGTTCTGGGTCAAACTAAACTTTTCAGCTTGCCAACTTATTTTTCAGAATTTCCAGCAAAACAAAGCGGTTCCCAACTCCCCTGACTGCGCCGTGACCCATCTGCGTGGTCTCCTGCCCATCGCTCTCTGCTCTCACCTGGAGCCCACCCACCGCTGCACCCAGGCTGGGGGCACCTGGGCGCAGAAGAGAAGCAAAGACCCTTCCCCGTCCTGCTGTGCAGTTTCCATGCATCTCCCATAAGGTCCCTCATCAATTTAACCAGCCCCCAACTGCCCCATCCCTCTCCCAGAAGCTCCAGATGTTCAGTGCCCATCAGTTCAATACCCTGGTTGAGGCCAACAGGAGAGGGGCTTAAAAATCAGGGGCTATTTAGAATTGTGGGAATTGTGGGTCTTTTATCAGCCTTGGGACTTCAAGAACTGTCTTTTCAAAGCTTACTTCACTATTGTGAGGACCAAAAGTCCCCTTTCTTTAAAAATATCAGGTTCCCTTGCAGGCCCATGATCTGAGGATGTGAAGAAAACCCGCAGGTGTCTCCAACCTGGTGGTAAAGCCAGGAGGGGGACATTGCACCGGCACCCACAGATGCACTGGGGTGACCTGCTGTTCTGCACAGGTCCAAAGACAGTGCCGGCTTTTCAGCTTCTGCTGTGAACGGTGTCAGAATGGACGACATAAAAAAGAGAGCCCTGTGGTTGATACGTAAAGACTAAAGCCCAAAGCATGGGTGCATGCCCAGAGCTCTAGCTATTGGAAACTCGACTGTCCCCTGGTGTCCCCCCCTGCTCCTTTCCTCACCGGCAGTGTTCTTCAGCAGGGATAGTGCGGATTCAGGAGCACAGTCAGGGCTATCTTCTTCATCAGCAAGATCTGCACAAACGACAGACAGGAGCACTGATGTCCACAGGTCAGGCTGCTCTGGGTCACCACTTTGCATTGGGTGAAATTCCTCATCTCACAAGAGGCTCAAAGGCCCAGGACTGCTTAAATCGCAGGGGTTTCGAGCAGTAATTAATTTAATTGTCCTCCGTCTCCCTCTCCTGGTTCCATTCATCTCTGATCTCCCCACTCCTCCTTTCCTTGCCCACCCGCAGTTGTCCCCTGCTCCCCGCTGCTTTGCTGACCACCCTCCATCCCCAGGCAGAAGCAAGTCACCACCATCTTGTACTCGAGTCAGATCTTGCAGGTCCCTGCTCCACCTACAGCCCAGGCAATCAGCCCCGTTGTGGGGGCACCCGGGCGGCTCAGCCCCCTCCTCACTGCAGGACCGTCCCCATCTCCCCAGCCCAGCAGGAGGGACCGCTCGGAGCATCTCTCCTGCCCCTGACACCTACCTCGGCTGGGGATGCTCAGCTTGCAGGGCAGTGCCAGCGGGGTGATGGCGTGCTGATACACGAAGGCAGAGAGGCTCCCTGCAACACAGAACCGCGAGTCGGGGGGGGCCTGGTGCCTGAAACCTCCCACCCGCGCGGCTCTGGCCCCTCAACAGTGTCCCAGGGACCTCAGAAGGAGGGAAGGGCGGAGCTAAGCTGGACTATTTGGGGCCTCACAGTGACAAAAGTGGGTTTTCCAACCCCCACCCCATGTTCTTGTTTTGGAGACTACTACTACAGTCTCACAAGCAGAGAAGTGTGGGCAGGAGCCAGGGGCTGGAGGGCCCCCACACAACACACTCACTGCAGGGCTGTGGAGCAGCCCCGGTCCTGGCCGGCGCTTCAGGGGGCTTTTGGAAACAGCTCCTGGAGCTGCCAGGGCTGCTGCAGGTCACGGCACCATCCTTACCGAAATACAGCTCCTCGCTGGCTCCTTTCAAGTGCACCCCTTTGGCAGATGACTCGATGAGGAAGTGCCGGACGAGGTCACTGCTCTCATTGCCTGGAAGCAGGATTGAAGACAGCGTCAGCACCGGCACAATTGACGTTGTTTCACCCCTGCCCTCCCCTGCCCGCCCCGTGGCCCCGTCCCAGGGCATCCACTGGCGCTTCTGCTCTGCGTGGTGAGCGCGGTGCCAGTCCCCGTGCATGGGGATGGGCATGCACAGACGCCACTGCCAGCGTCACTCGCACAACCAGAGTCCTGCGGCTTCTCAGCTTGCTTTAGTCTGACTGGTTTCAGTTAAATCCCTGAAGCAAACCCCACCTTTCTGAGCGAGTGCCTGTACCTGTCTGGCTGCCAGATGGAGAGACGGGAACCTTCATTGCCAGTCCAAAAGACCCCCGGTACGATGTGCTGTCCCGCACAATGAACGTGCCTGGCTCCTTGTCCTTCAGCAGCTGGATTGCTGTCAAAGCACAGGCGGAGGCTCAGCCAAGCAAAACAGGTGGAACCTCCCCGCATTGCATTTTGCGTCCGGCCGATGCTCTCGCGGGGAGTCGCTCCTTGCCAGCAGCGAGAAATCATCAGGAGCGTTTGCTGAGGACACGCACGTCCCTCGTGCGGGTACCGACTGCAGTGCCCCTGCAGACTGAGGGGCCCCAGCTCGGTGCTGCGGGTCCGTGGTCCCCAGGACAAAGTCAGCCCCTGCCCAGGCCATGCGGAGTAGCAGCACAGTCAGAGGCAGGAGAAGCTTTTCTGGATCTGAGGTGGGGGGGGCTGTGGTACAGCCCGGCCCTGAGCCCTCCCCCTAGACCTGTAAGTAGGTCTCTCAATGCCCATGAACCCCAGTATACTTTGAATTGCCATCACCGAGTCCCCACAGGACCTCAGCACGGGCAAGAGCTGGACTGAGGTGCTGCGGGGAGGCAAATTCCAGCCTGGGGAACAGGCAGCAGTCCTGCAGACCCACAGAGAGCAAGTCTGAGATGGGGTTATCCCAGCAGAAACACTTACTGCCTTACCTTGGTCCCTGGTTATGCTCGGCTTGAACCAGTATTTCGATGTGTCCATCACAAACTTCATGGTCGGCTGCCCAGCCCTGAGGGGACCTGCAAGAGACCTTACGGCGTCAAGGCCAGCGTGGGACCTGAAAGACATCACTGAGCGGGACAGAGCCCTAGCAAAGATATTTCTCTTCCAGGCTGGCTAGATTTGAAGTGTTTTTTTCAATCCTTTTGACCAGAGCTTCCTCCCTACTCCTCAGAATAATTCATTCTCCACGAAATTATCTCTCTTGGCAGGCTGCGATGGAGTGCAGAGAGGCAGCACATGGAATCCCCCAGCAGTGCCAGTCTGTCCAACCCTGCACAAGTCCACTGGACCATGGGGATTTACACCAGCTGAGGATCTGACCCGCAAAGCCCTCCTGCTATTCCCATAAGAATCCCAATTAAAACCCTCTGCCCTGAGAACTGCCTTTGCCAACCTCCTCCAGAGAACAATAGCCCTATTGTTTACCCTTGAATGAGAGACCTTATAAACTCTGGTATCTTTAGATGTCCTCCAGAGCAAACTGGAACCCTAACCCCTCCTCCCCACCCATTCTGGGGGCACAAAGAAATGACAGAATTATGGTTCTCATTCTCAGGTGCTATAAATATGCATCTCTGCATCTCCTTGAGGGGACCAGAGCGTTTCTGCCTGCTGAGCATGTGCCCCAGGACCCTGGTGGGCAAAACACCATAGCTAATGCAGGGTCATCAGCAAAGAGCTGGAGACCACCGCAGACCCCTCCAACCCTGCGGAGATACATTGAGGACCTCTAGCGCCAGCGAGGACCTCCTGTCCTTCCTTCATGTCTATAACCCACAGATAAACCAGAGCAGGAACCGGTGTTTGCTCCCCCTTTCCTAGCAGCTGTTGGGCTCTACAGCTCCTTCCCCCTCCAGACCTGCCCTGTGGCAGGGAGGTGACTTACTGTCCGAGACGCAGGAGAGCGCTGGTGCCGACAGGGCATTGTTCAGGCCACCGAGCCTCAAGGCCAGGCTGCAGCTGGGAGGGGGGCTCTGCTTGACAGAGGCTGGGGGGGCTTCAGCCAGCTTGGAAGATGCATCTCCTTGTTCCAGGCACCCGTTCACCAGCAGCACCGGGATGTCGGCTGCGGAGTTGAGGATGGAGGGGGGGCAGCTGCTGGCCTGTCCCTTCTGGGACGGGGAGGTGTTGGCTTTGGTGGAGCAGGCTGCCCTGGGCTGGTGGGGACTCAGGCCAAAAGCTTCTCCAGAGTGAGTCCTGATGCTCGGGGAAGGGGGGCAGGGGCTGCCCAGAGAGCTGGCAGGGGACGGGCAGTCAGCGGAGCGGCAGATAGCGGGGTGAGCATCCGAGTCGTCGTTGTGGAGTGAGTGGGTGCTGCTGCAAGAGGGAGACAAAGAGCAGAAGGAGATCAGCGGGGTTATTTAGCCGGGATGGGATGCACAGCCCATCCCAGAGACTGCGCTAGCCCTGCGGGGCATTGACTCCCAGCCTGAGGAAGGAGGTCCTGGACAACGGGACTTGGGGTAACCGCCCAGTGCCCCTTCCATCCCCATCACCAGCCTGAGACTGGGACACAAGGCGGCATTTACCTTCCAAGGATGTAACTGGTGTCTGAGCCAGGGCTTGTGGAGAGCAGGGAGACCCGGCTGCTCCTCTGCCGGGCCCTCACCACGTGCACGGGCTTCAGCAAATTGTCGAAGCCCGGGGAGGTGCCGAGAGCCCTGGGGCTGTAGAAGATGCTGTCCGTCTGGCCAGCCGCGCACTGCTGGGGGACAGCAATGCACTCAGATGCTTTGCCGCAGGTCAGCGAGGCAGCGCAGCTCGGGGTGCCCAAGCGGGGGCTCGCGGGTCCAGGTGGGCTCGAGAAAACCACGCTGCCACTGGTGCTGTAGTTGCCTCTGAGTCCCCCTTTTTGGGGCAGGAAGCCATTGCCCTGGGGGGACCTCGAGAACGGCGTGCCCAAAGGGCTGGGGGAGCCCTGCAGCAGCTCGGAACACGTGGCTCTGCCTGGCGTCATCTCTATGTATTTAATGTCTGGAGGAGGAAAGAGGAGGTCGTTACCAATTCAGTGTTTGAGTCAGGTTCGTTAGCTAAGCTCTGTGGGGGACATGCATCTCTGTTCTTCTTGCTATTAATTTTGGCTCCAGTTTGCATGCCCTGCAGGGCTGCTTGGCCCAGGGGAGTACCCCCAGGCTCTGCAGGGAGACCCCCATGGCCCAACGCTGGCCTTTGTTAAGACCCTGTGAGGGCTGATTTCTTCATGGACACCAAGCCACGGTGACCCACCCAAGTGCAGGCGGGCTTCCAGGCAAGAGGGGTTACATGCGGTCATGTCTGACTGCACAGACCCCCCTCGCCAGCATTGCACAGCCGGTGCTTGCCGAGACCTGCAGCGAGAGGTGGGTGTTTCCTCCAGCAGCCACCCTGTTTGTACCTGACTCAAGAGAAAAACATCTGGCTGCTCCCCCCAGGGATGACATCAGGCTCGGAGGGTGCCCACGGCAGCAGGCGCGTGGCCCTGCACACCCTCTGAGCTGGCTGGACAGAGGAGCACGGGGGACGTCACCTCGCCCCCAGGCACCGCTGGACACCCGCGGCATCTGCATCATGGCTGCGGAGCGGGAGGCAGAGGGAAGCCGTGCGGGACAAGGGCAGTTACAAGGCTCTAGGTGTCAGCTATGGGACCAGGCGTGCCAGCAGCAAGCGCGCAGCCCAGGGCAGGGGCCGGCTGCTCTCCCTTCCCACCTCCCATCCTGCACAAGTCTCTTTAGAGAAATAATTTCCAAGGCAGTTTCTATGCCCATGCCCCGCTGTGTGTTTTTTCCTGCTCCTCCATTCATGCTCAGGGCAGCAGGGCATCTCCTAGCCCCTTTCCTTGCCATTATTTATAAGGTAACACATCTGATGGAGCGTCACTTGCTCCAAGACCTTCAGTGACCTCACAGCCAGGGCAAGGGGATGCCTGGCTCCCAGGTGCCCGATGCACGTCAGTCACTGGGTTTCTTGAACAAGGCCATAATTTCTGGCTGAGCTAGAAGGTGCCTTTTAGCAAGAGACACTCAGACTTGATTTAAGGGCTTGCAGCGATGGCGAATTCATCACCTCCCCAGGGAAGCTGTTCCAGTGGTTAATCACCTCCACTGCTAGAAGCGTGCGCCTCCTTTCTAGTCTGAACGTGCCCAGCTTTGTTTTCTTCTGGTTCTTGCCCTGCCATGGAGTTTAAGAAAGTTCCCCTTCTTAAAGGTGTTTCTTGGAGAGAGAAGAACCTTTTTGCTGCAGCAATGAAAAACTGCTCTTAACAGCCCTGAGCTCCCTGGCAGTTGATGTTATGTGCCTCGTTCCTGGGAAACAGCTGCCGGTGGGACCTGCCGATGAGGGCAGCTGGCTGGGGCAGAGCAGCTGTCTCCAGACTGCCAAGCACTGCAGACCCTGTTTACTGCAAGGAACAACCAGACCTCTGGGGCATAAAGCTTGATGAGCAGGAAAAGCACAAGTCTGTACAAAAGTTACTCTCAGAGCGCCTTCTCTATGCTGATCCCAGCGCAGGATTGGATCGGCACGGCCAGCGGAGAGCCGCCGAGGAGGCGCCGGGTAAGCTAGAAGGGCTGGTCCCCAGCGGGGACGCAGCTGGACCACGCGTGGGGAAGGAGCCAGAACCGCAGCCTTCCCCCTCCACACCCTTACTGCCATTGGCAGCCAGCAGCAGCTCCTCCAAAGCCCATCCTCGGAAAGGCTCCGGAGCCACGTGGTTCTGGTATCAAACCTTTTGTGTGCAAACCCTTACAGCAAGCTCTTGGCTGGATGCTTTCTGTCAACGTCTCCCTCAAAAGGGGAAAAGAAATGGGGATTTTAATTGTCCTTTAAAGAAATAACTGAAAAGCATCTGCACCCTGGGCTAACGAGGCCCTTTGCCTCCTCCTTTTCTGCCTTTGCTCCTGCTTATCAGGTGTGGTTAAGCCTCAAATATTTGCTCAAGACCTTGGCAAGTTTTTCAGCATCAAGGAGTGGCAAAAGTGCGGCAAACACAGAGCCCAGCTGTCACGCAAGCTGAGACACTCTCCTCTTCTCCAGGAACAAGCAAGTACCAGAGGAAGTTAGTGACTGTCATGAATGTGTCTCCTATGGCTACAGCATCTATTCTGTTAAAAGCCCTCCCCGTGGTTTCTACTAGAAAAGAACAAGCCCCTCCTGTGGACTCTGGGCACCATCAGTCTCCTGCCAGCCTGCACATCAACTGACCGTGCTTGCAGGGAACTTAAACCTCAGGCAGAAAGGAGGGCGTGGAAATTATTCAGAAAGCGCAATGGGGCCCTGTGCAGCCCTCCCCTGCACGGCCAGGGGAGGAAAGGGGGGCAGGAGCCTAATGGGAGCCTTTCCACGGGGCCAGCTGGCGTGAGATGGGAGCAGTGGTGCATGCACAGGTCGCACGGCTGCAGCAGGAGGTGGGTGAACAGGGATGCTGTGCAGCAGTAGGAAGTTTGCATAAAAAATAAGAGCTGTTAAAAGAAAATGAAAGCTAAAGTGAGGCTTTTCCCACTGAGTTCAGGGCCAGGTTTCCAGATGTTCAGTTCCACACTTGGAGCCAGATTTTCAAAACCACTAGCACGCTACCTGCTGAGCTGCTCGGGACTCCAGCCCTCGAGTGATGCCTGAAGGAGAGGCATCTGAATGCCTCCAAACACCAGTCTGAGGAGCCAAGAGCTGAACTTGCACTTTGTCACAGTACTTTATCTGTAAGGCCACCCCCTTCCATCCCAGCGGGAAGCAGGGATGCTGTCTGCTCCAGAATCGCCCAAGCCCTGCAGCGTGCTCGCACCGCTCCGGCCCCTGCGCTCCCTGACTCCAGCTTAGCTGCTTCCCCGTCGGAGCATCGGGACCCTCACACCTGCCAGGGCTGCAGTTCAGTGCACTTGCAGACAGGCACCTCATCCTCCTCCAACCCCACGTTCCTCATGCAGACATTTGCATGAGGGCTCAGGGAGAACAATTTTTTTCATGCCTTTAACATTCTCTCATTTGACCTTCCTCTGGAAAGAGGCCTAGGGACAGATTTTCAAGGTATTTCCATGTCTAAAGACACAGACAGGCAATAAGGCTTTTCAGCAGCAGTGAGACTGTATCTTTAGGCACCTAAACACATCACAGATCTGTCCTCCAGCGCACCAGAACGCTTGCAGCAGTGTGCAACACGCTGTCTGCTTGTGTTACCCTGCACACAGTGTGTTGAGCAGCAAACGCGCTGCAAAAGAGCCACAGGCAAGAGTGCTTGGATCAGAAGCAGCACACACAGCACAGCTTTGGATTGCAGGGATGACAGAGAAGTGTTGCAAAAGGGTTCACGTAAGGCACCCAGGCATGAGAGCAGAAAGAGGGGGTTGGTATGTGCTGCTGATGTTCTGCCTTGTGTATGCCAGGTATGCTGCTGGAGGAGTGCACAAGCCCTGGAAAAAGAATTTCTCTGGCAAAATGATTGGGAACATTTAAATGGGATGGTTGTGTAACGATTAGTACCTTAGCCCAAGGCTTTGGAAATCTGGCTTCAAATCCTTGTGCTTCCACAGGTCAAGTATGACCCTGGGAAAGGCTCCACTGCCCTTTGGTAGAACTGGGGCTCTGCTGCAAGGGTGAGCACGCGCCAGATGTCACACCCAGAGGTCAGTGCCTGTCCCTAGTCATTGACGGTAATAACTTGGATTAGGCATTTTCTGAGAGCTACAATTCCCATTTCTAATGAGAAATGTTTTCTCCAAACACAGGGAAACAAACGTCAGGTTGAATTAAGGCTGTTCTCCCTGTTTTCTTTTGGATGCTGTTGAGCTAGCTGGACACAAGACATTTCAAAAGTGGTCAGACCGGGGCCACCTAAGCACACAAGTTAGGCAGAGAGCCTGGATACACAATCTGTTCTCCTGCTCCTTTACACGAAGCCCTGATGTCAGCAGACAGTATCCCACGCTGATCCCACTGGGGATGGTGGGGGATGTCACCGATGCCCATTTCCAGTCCTTCACAGGAGCACAGGACCTCATCCTGCCCGCAGCAGAGGGGGCTGGGGCTGGTGTGTAGCCAGCCTCTCCGCCCTGGACTTTCACTCTGCCTCTTGCAAATGGTTTTCACTAGGTCTGAGCTGCGCTGGCTCCATCGCACGACCAGCACCTTTTGCCTCACCTATTGCCTCTGGATCTTGTTTCTTGGTGGCAGCAGCATCACCCTGAGAAGCAGGTTGGGCCGCATCCTTCACTGGCTTGCATGTGAGCGGCTGAAAGGTCGGATCGATTTCTAGGATCAGCTGGTTGAGACTCTCTATTGATATGTCCAAGGTAGGAGACACCAGGTGAGCCTCAGGATCCGTGCCGGTGTCCTCCTCCTTCTCCTTTGCCTGACACGGGGCAGCGGGTCTCTCCAAAGAGGTATCCTGCTGCCCCTTCCCCTGGGCGTGAGCAGCCATGTGCTCAAATATGGGGTGGGCTCCGTACAGCCCTCCGCCGGGAAGCAGGCGTGCGTTGGTGTGCACCATCGTGGACGGGTCAGCCCAGCCCTCCGTTGAGTAGTAGGCGTACTTCATCGGCAGCAGAGAGCAGCCGGGGTACCCCGCCGGGTGCAAGCTCTTGCTTTCCTCCTGTGAGGAAACACACACGGTCTGTCCAACACGCAACACGTGGTTTTGTATGACCTGTGACATGGTTTGGTTTTCCGATTTGATGCCTTAGAGTCCAAGGGAAACCTCGTCCTCCTCCTTGCCTCCCTTTCTCCACCAGGGACCTCAGACTCCTTCTTCAATCCAGCGTCTCAAGCGGAAGAAGAATCTAAGGAATGCAGAGAGAGGAGCGGTTACGCAGGCATGCCCAGGGCAGGAGCAGACTTCAGCGGAAAAGTCTATAAAAACGGGGATTTGGAGTGCAAAGCTGGAATTCAGCTCATAAGAAAACAAGTCATCCTGTATTGCTTTTCCACCCCCCTCCAGCCTCTGCTCCCGGTGCCACAGTGCATTTGGGCAAGTGCAAGGAGGATTAATTCGCAACTTTCAGGATTCAAAGGCCTAAAAACTACATTCTGCTTTTTTTTCCACAGCGCTTATTTTTTTGGTTAAGAATGAAACGAAATATCAGTCTAACGACTTTTGCATGGGACCCTGACCCTCGGAAGCCATCCGGGGAGGCAATGGTAGACAGCGAGCCTGGAGCTGCGCAGGGTAGGCTTACAGTGGGCCAGGGAGACGGAGCAGCCTGCCAATGTTCTGCGAGTGGGTGTACATTTAATCTGAGGGTTTATTTTGCTGGTACAACGTGAGCTGAGCTCTGGAAGCCTGTGTATGTGGCTGTTTTCTCAGTCAAGGCACTGCTCTAGGAATCTGATTGCTATTAAATTTTGAATACTCTCTGGCTTTGCTTTAGATAGAAAGTATCTTTGAATTCGCCATTAAAAAAACCCCACGGCAGAGGGTAGGCTTCCCTTGGGGAGTTCTGGGCAAAAGGTCTCGGGACACCATTTGGGGGTGGGGAAGTCATCCAACTGCATCAGGAACAAGTGGGGTCCCCCCAGCTGCTGCTCTCCCTCGTGCTCATCTGCACGCCGGCACGGTGGGAGCTGCCATTCAGCAAAACTCGCTGCCACCAAATGCACTGGGGGAACCTCGCTCATTAGTCTCAGGATGAGGAAGATAAGCCTGTTCCCTCCACACCCTCTGGCAGCCAAAACTCAACGTCTCGGTGCTTGGGGACAAAAAAGCCAAGCACATTCTCCATGCCTGGTACTGCACGGGCTGCATGGGAACGTGCCCGTCCTCTCCAGGCAGCACCAGTGGGGACCAAAGGATGCCCGGAGAGTTGGAGCCAAAGGCTCACTGACAGGAGTTAATCCTACAGCTCAGGGCTCCCTCCTCCATACCCTGTGTGGATCTGGTGTGTAATACATACAAACAGTGGGCTACGCTTATTAAAACATTTGTCCTTTCCTGCATCAGTCTTGAATGACTGACTTATTTACTCACCTATCTTGGATTGATTAACTATGGAGTCATAGGATTAAGAAAGAGACACGTTGCTCCTGGGCAGCCAGTCCATAACCCCCATGGGCGAGGGCAGGAGTGCTGGGCTGGCACGGTACGTCATGTCTGGTAAGCGGTGACTAATTGCCGTGCTGGGTGCTGAGAGCTGTTACGGAGGTGGCTCAAAACAGGCCGGCTTTGCCCTCAATGAATTATATAACCCTGAAGAAGCTTCTCCTCTTGCCGGAGAAAGAGACACCCAGAAGAGCACAGACTCATGAAGATTAATGAATTAGAAGCAGAACATTGCTGCTGTCTGCTGCTGCTCACAGTGTACGGAGCTCGGCGTGGCTATGGATCCTGAGTCACACCAGTTAACGCTCTCAAAAGAGCTAGGAGAGGATTTTAAGGACTGCAGAAGTGAATAAATACTTCAAACCCATTTAGCTTCCTCCCAGCCTGGACCCCACTGTGTCTTCTGAGCCTCTGATAGATTTTATTTACAGGACTGGCAGGCTGGTCCGTAAGAAAGGCTCAGGAGCAAGGACGTGTCCTGCACCAAGACCTGTGCTGCAGAAGGGAAAGCACCTCTGGGAGGCAGCTGTTGTGCCTTTAGTTGCAAATTAGACAGGCACATGGCATCTCTGAATTGTAACTAACTGATTAATACTACAGATGGGAAAGACACGCAGCCCCACCTGCACCTCCGGGCATTCGGGGCTGCGCTCTGCAAGCCGGGTCTGTCCCAGCCCCGATGGGAGATGGACAGAGTCCAGAGCAGGTTATCCCTACGAAGGGCCGGCTGTGAAGGGGTCTATCAGAAAACGGGTGGGAAGAGCTGGACTTCAGGGTAGCTGCTCCCCAGGCTCGGGGGGCAGACAGGTGAAATGCACAGGCTGCACGTGGTGGGGTCCCTCCTGCGACCGCAGCAGTGATGCAGCCCAGCAGCTGCACAGCCCGCGGTGCCTTCCCAGCCAGCCGTGCCACGGCCAGCACCTGTGCATTGCTCTTCCTCGGCATTTCTGGACCCAAACCCCCAGGCGCAGAGGATGCAGAGGTGGGCTGGGACCCGAGTTCCCCTTTCCCACTGGCCAGCTGGGCTGGCTGTGCCTGGGCGCTGCCCGCAGAGCTCGTGTCGCCTCTGATCGGGTCACAGCGCGGCTCTGCCGTGCGGTCAGTAGGATCACAGGTACGTGGTCTGCCCACTTCTGGTTTCCTGCCTTGGAGCACCTATGTGCCATGACGCCGCAGGCACTGCCGTGAGAAGTGCAGCACGGTACAAGGCTTGGAGGGAGCGTTTGTTAAATATAAAAAGAAGAGTCATTCCAGGTCAAAAACACAAGCTAGATGGAGTGAAAATTGGATTCTCCCCTGGGGAAAAGAACTGCCTGGCTCCAGTCAGCATCCGCAAGACAAGGCTGGTTTTAATTTAAGTAGGTACAGAAATAACGTGCAGTATGCATGAACAAGGACTGTCAGGGGGTTCCAGGAGCATGCACGCAACAGCTTCCCTCCTCTCTTGTACTCCTGCCCCAAGTTTTTGATCTTTCTCGTGCCTGATGGTGCCAGAATTAGCCTCCAAACCTCATTTCTCCTCCCTTCTCTTCTCTGGGTTAAAGTGAGAGGTCTCCCAGGCTCCTCACAAGAATTTTGAGCCTCAGCTGCAGGCTCTTCTGCTCAGAGGAACAAAGGAGGAGAAGGGCTCGGGCAAAGGAGGTTAATCACAAGGTGGCTGTTAGCCACCAGCGTGGTGCAGCCACAAGAAAGACAAACACTGCCCACAGACATCAGGACTTTCCAAGAGCAATCAGAAATAGCAGTGCCCTTGTGCACAGCCCTGGCGAAGGCTGGGCAGTGTCCAGCTGTGCCCCCCGGGCAGGGAAGAGGGGCCGGGCTGGAGTGCAAGGACCGTGATCGCAGGCAGGGAGCCCGTATCGCACAGTGAAGCCGACGGCACATCTGTGCCGTGCCACGAGGTGCGGTGCCCTTCACTCCGGCAGCAGCAGCAGAGAAAGCTCTGCAACACAAGCATCGCAGCCCTGGCAGAGGTAACCCAGGCGCTGCAGACATGCCTTACAGGGCTTGGCTGGCTAGCTTAACCAAGGCTGGGAGGATTTACTGGCTGTACAGAAACACTGGGGGAAGGAGCACTGTTGTTTAAGCTAAGACAAGGCTAGCAGAAGAAGAAATGGAAATAAGCTGGCCACAAACACATCTAGACTGGAAATTACAGAGTTTCTGCTTCTGGAAACAGACTGTGGAACAGAATTCCCCCTAAGATGAAGGGGACAAGTCACAAATTTTGGATGCAGACGGACACGCTGATAAAGGCTCTTGGTGAGGCAGCTGCCTGTTGTACCAAGACACGCGGCTCGGTGAAGCAGGAATTGCAGTTCAGACCAGTAACCCCAGTTCTCCCCTCCACCTCCAGCCCAGCTTGGCAGGCGGCCCCCTGACATGAAAACACAGAGCCCCCTGACATGAAAAGGAGCTCAGGGTGTCAGCACTGGGACCAGGGCTGGAGCACCCACGTGGGGCTGCGGAGAGCAGAGGCAGGAGGTAGGGTGCTGGGTTTGGAGGGCTGCAGGGTGCCTCCTGGGCGGCGGCGGGAGAAGCAGAGTGCCCTTGGGCCAGGGCTGCACCAGGCACACCCCAGCTGTTAGATAACTGCCTGCACGCCCTCCCCAAACCCGCCAGGCACGGCACGGCACAGCCCAGCCCAGCCAGCCTGCAACTGCCACGTGGAGGACACGCTGATAAAGGCTCTTGGTGAGGCAGCTGCCTGTTGTACCAAGACACGCGGCTCGGTGAAGCAGGAATTGCAGTTCAGACCAGTAACCCCAGTTCTCCCCTCCACCTCCAGCCCAGCTTGGCAGGCGGCCCCCTGACATGAAAACACAGAGCCCCCTGACACGAAAAGGAGCTCAGGGTGTCAGCACTGGGACCAGGGCTGGAGCACCCACGTGGGGCTGCGGAGAGCAGAGGCAGGAGGTAGGGTGCTGGGTTTGGAGGGCTGCAGGGTGCCTCCTGGGCGGCGGCGGGAGAAGCAGAGTGCCCTTGGGCCAGGGCTGCACCAGGCACACCCCAGCTGTTAGATAACTGCCTGCACGCCCTCCCCAAACCCGCCAGGCACGGCACGGCACAGCCCAGCCCAGCCAGCCTGCAACGGCCACGTGGACCGAGCTCCATGGAACAAAGTCCCTCCGTGCAGGGCCCTGTCCTGGCTTTGTCTGCTGGAGCACAGCAAGCTTGGTGCGGACCCCCAGCTTCACCTCTGCCCGCGGCCGTGCTGGCTCTCCCCCAGGCTTCAACAGATCAGGCAAGGTAACAGCAATGCCGAAAACGCTGCCTCTCAGCTTCGCCTGGCAGCTGCACACACAGAGCCCTGGATGTCCCAGCGCAGTTATTTGGAGCTAAGACACACGAGCCGGGACACAGGCTTATTCCTTGTCTGCGCAGAGACCCCAAAACAGCAAAGCCAGCTGCCAAGCCTGGGTTGTTTTTCCTTGCAACGTGAGCCCTGGGAGCCTCCCGATGACAAGTCTGTTACACATCCCCTCACCAGGAGGAGCAGAAGGAACTGCTGGGACACCCAGGATTTACAGAGCTCATTACGCCCAGCTGAATCATTGCGAGGGCTGTGGGGTGACTTGCCTAGATTAGCAGGGTGTGCTGATGAGGTTGAGGAAAAAAGT